GATCTTACCAGAAAAATGGCTAAAAATCCCAAAACTAAATAGCCCTAATACAAAAAATAAAACATTGACAATATCACAGACCTGTGATATAATTCTGCAAGCGCAAGAAACAAAACTTATGGAACAAGAATATGAAAATTCTCTACATTCGTATTCTCTCTCAGCAGGAGTAAAATCTTATGAAATCCTATAGGCAAATCGTTGAAGAAGCCAAAACCGAAATACCAGAAGTGACGGTTGCTGAAGTAAAAACCGAACAAGATAAAGAGAGCGATTTCGTGTTACTGGACGTGCGGGATGAAGACGAATTTCGTGCCGGTTATATCCCCAACGCTGTTCACGTTACACGCGGCATGCTCGAATTTTCCGTTGAAAACCACATTCCAGACCGGGACCAAAAGATCGTTGTTTACTGCGCAGCGGGACTCCGTTCCCTCCTTGCTGCAAAGTCGCTCCGTGAAATGGGATACACCGACACCGTCTCGCTTGCAGGTGGATACCGCGACTGGACGGCTGCAGACTTGCCCACTATCCAAGACAAACCGATGACGCACGATCAACTCGACCGGTATAGTCGGCACTTTATGCTCACTGAGGTCGGAGAACGAGGACAAGCAAAACTGCTCAATTCTAAAGTATTGATGGTGGGTGCCGGTGGATTAGGTTCCCCCGCAGGCGTATACCTCGGTGCCGCAGGTGTCGGACACCTCGGCATTATCGATTCCGATGTCGTCGAATTAAGCAATCTGCAGCGTCAGATACTCCACCGTACAGAATCGGTCGGTACGCCAAAGGTTCAATCCGCAACAACGACGATTAAGTCGTTGAACCCGGACATCGACATCACGCCGTATAACCTCCGCCTGACTGCCGATAACGTTGAAGAAATTTTCTCGGAATATGACCTCATTGTGGATGGATGCGACAACTTCGCGACTCGCTACCTCGTCAACGACGCTGCTGTGCTGATGAATAAACCCATTGTCCACGGCAGTATCTTCCAATTCGAGGGACAGGTCTCGCTCTTCAAACCGCACGACGGACCTTGCTACCGATGCCTGTTTCCGACACCCCCGCCCTCCCGGCATGGTGCCCAGCTGAAGTGAGGCAGGTGTCCTGGGCGTGCTCCCAGGCGTAATCGGTGTCATGATGGCAACTGAAGCAATTAAATACATTATCGGTATCGGCGAACCCTTATCGGTAGGTTGGTCCTCTACGAGGCTCTCAGCATGACATATCGTGAGATGAAAATTAATAGAGATAAGAACTGCCCACTCTGCGGTGATAACCCCGTTATTACGAAATTAATTGATGATTACGATGCAGCGGCTGAAAATCCCGAAACCTTCGCTCCCGCCGCTGACTAACAATTAACCCTTGATACGGAAATTTAGGCAACTCCGAGGAGCACTTATATGTTACCTTGTCCTGATTGTAACAATCCGCTGACGCAGTTCCCAATCGAAAAAGATGACTTAGATCTCGTCAGTTGTGATGGTTGTTACGGCGTGTGGCTCGTCCATCCCGGCGACGATCTGGTGCGTGTAGACAACGTTACCTTTGACGATCTCGTCGACGCGTATGGCACTGAATATCCGATTGATGTTGACCCAAGCACGGTGGAACTTCCTGAACCGGTTGAAGATGCTTTGATGTAGACCGGAAAATATGATGCCCGTGCTAAGATTTGATTAAGAGGTTGAAGAAAGAAAAAAATGCACATCTTTTTTCAGATTGTGCTATAATGATCCTAACTAACTTTTCTAAGGAGGTTTGTCAATGCGAACTCTCGTTTTGTTGGTAGTACTAAGCCTTGTAGTTTCACCCGCATTTGCTCAAAAATATATCAGTTGGGAAGCGGAAAACTTTGATGCTATCAACGGTGACAAATTTGAAATCTTTGAAACACCTTCAGACCAACCCGGTAACGCAGCTGAAGGTGTAGACGATTATACGATCGCGGAAGCATCCGGTGGTGCTTTCATCGGATCATCCAACGGTGTCGCAAACGACGGTGATGCTTGGGTAAAATATAACTTCTCAGTCGAACTGGACAATTGGCACTTCTGGGGACGTGTGATTGCGCCGTCAATCGCGGATAATTCTATGTACTGGGCATTTGACATCGCTGACGCTGACGCGCTCTCCACTAATAACGCCACCATGAATATTTGGGATTTCTTTGAACAAGAGTCCCTCCGGGAGGGCTATACAACTGAATGGATCTGGTTCCGGTTGAATACGCGCGACGGTCCTTTCGAGGGAACTGAGCTTATTCAGCACGGCGATGATCCGGTTCCGGTGAATTTGACCGCTGGTGAACACACATTTCACATTGCTCATCGTGAAGATGGAACGTACATTGACCAAATTTTCGCGACGACAGATATTGAGTTTGATCCCAATGAAACCGCCCCACAGACGGCTGTTGAACCACAAAACAAGCTGACGACAACTTGGGGCGCGCTCAAAAGCGGATTCTAAGTCGAACAAACACTTAAAGGCATCCACTTGCTGGATGCCTTTAAGTGTAATTCCTACCACGCGGGATATACGGAAAATTGGAAAACCACTGTTATCTCTCGCTCGGTGCCAAAACAGCCTCCCTTTTATTCTCCTACCTGATATTTGTTAACTGCATCGCTACGCTGAATGCAGCTGAAACGACACTCCGTTTCACAGACCAGACACAGGCAGCCGGCATCCATTTTAAACATACCAACGGCACATCTAAACAGAAATATCTACCTGAGACGATGGGAGCCGGTGGACTCTTCTTCGACTACAACAACGACAGACATCTCGATATCTACCTCGTCAATAGCGGCATCCTCAACCGTGATGCTCAATCCCCAAGACATGTGAATCACTCAAACCTTCTTTACCGGAACGACGGCGACGGAATGTTTGTTGATGTAACTGCAGAAGCAGGATTGCAACAAAATCACGGATACGGCATGGGATGCCTTGCCGCAGATTACGACAACGATGGAGACACTGACCTCTATCTCACCAACTTCGGCAAAAACCAACTCTATCGGAACAATGGCGACGGCACCTTCACAGACGTTACATCCCATGCCGGTGTAGGCGATGGCAGCTGGAGCGTCAGTGCGTCCTTCGGCGACTTCAACCTTGACGGATATTTAGACCTCTATGTAGCCAATTATCTGGACTATCAACCCGAAACCGCCCACGCCTGTTTTCTGGAAGGTGTTCACATCTACTGCGGTCCACATGAATATCCCGGTGCGCGTGATACACTTTATAGAAACAACGGCAATGGCACTTTCACGGATGTCACAGCCCGCTCCGAACTACACAACGTAGGCAAAGGATTAGGCACCCTCTTTACAGACTACAACAGCGACGGTTACCCTGATATTTTCGTCGCGAACGACGCTGTTCCCGATTTTCTCTACCGCAACAACGGCGATGGCACTTTCACAGATGTCGCCCGTCACGGCTGGAGTCGCCTACAATTCAGAAGGTCGGGCAACCGCCAGTATGGGGATCGCCGCCGCGGATTACGATAACGACGAACTGCCAGACCTCTTTGTCACAAACTTCTCTTTGGAAATTAACAGCCTCTTTCACAACGACAGCGACGGCTTCTACACGATGACCACTTTTGAAACTGGACTCGCTGATCCGAGTTTTTCACAACTCGGTTTCGGCACCCAATTTCCTTGACGCAGACAATGATGGAACGCTTGAACTTTTCGTCGCAAATGGACACGTGTGGGATAACGTATCAAAGATTACGCCATCTCTCTCTTACAAACAACAGTGCCAGATTTTTGGGAACATCGGAACAGGGCAATACAGAGATCTATCCGAGTCAGCAGGTACATTTTTCAAACGTCCAGTTGTCGGGCGCGGTGTAGCCGTCGGTGACTATAACAACGATGGCGCAGTGGATATCCTTGTTACATGCTGCGGTGAAGTCCCGGCACTCTTGCGAAACGATTCTCAAGCAGACCCCCGAAGGAACAATTGGGTGAAAATCCGACTTGTCGGCACTGAAAGCAATCGCGACGGTATCGGTGCAAAAGTGTGGGTGCAAACAAACAAGAACACACAGTTCAAAGAAGCAACCTGTGGTGGAAGTTACGCATCCGGTAGTGCGCTTACTCTTCACTTCGGTATCGGCACACAAGAAATGATTCAATCTATCAAAGTAAAATGGCAAAGTGGACGGAACCAGACAGTCGATTTTTCAAACGCAGAGAACCCAGTGAATCGAGTTATCCGCATTATCGAAAACTCGTCAAATTAGGCTGACACTCTTCCATTCTCGTTATACCCCTGTAGAAGCACGCTCCGATTCGCGACTCTCCTACTACAGGTGAACTGAATGACTCTACCTCACGCGCTTCCGTTGAGTTCCACACGGATAAAATCTGTTAAAATTTTCAATGTCATAGGACTTATAATACCCAATTAGCCCCATTTGTAGTGCGAGGTCCCTGTGCCTCGCAATGCTGACTTGATCAAAAGACTTCTAATCAAGCTAATTTGGTATAAGTCCCCTGATAAGGGGGATTTAGGGGGTTAAAAATATGAAAATCTCGTGCCGCGTGCTAAATTTGCGTAAGTCCTGTGTCACTAAAATCTACAAGACTGATACATCACCTGTCAGGAACCTCTCATCCCGCACCAATACGCAAGAACCGTAGTACATAACGCAATAATTGCATACTATTTTTCAAAAATTGTCTAATTCTCCGCAAAAGATGCTATTTAGGCGAATCCAGTATCAGTACGCATTTCGGAATTTATCTATCGCCTCACCTCTCAAAAAAGCGTGCGTTGCAGAAAACCTTCTCTGTTTTCCACAGACGTATCATCTCTTTGAAAACAATTGATAGGAACTCTCTCAGCGAAAAGAGACGCCGCGTTGTTGGTAAAACGAAACAGAGTATCAAGCCATAAGTTCTCCGTCTTTCACATCCCTTATCTCCGCATCATAAAACATTTTCTGCGCTACATACTGCAATTTTTGCGTGCTGATAATGGGCAAAAACTCATAAGTGCTCCTCATTTCTTCAATGGTGCGGTTTTCTCAAAAAAAGGCGAACGCTGACCCTCTATTGACATAACCCACGTAGTTACCGTGTGTTTAACGAAGGGTATCAGTATGAAAAATCTCTTTAAAATTTCAACGGGGGTTTGCTGTAAATACGCTGCATTTTGTGACAAGCATTGGCACGAAATTTGCTTAAGTAACAACGTGATTCAGTTTTAAAGGAGCAATTTGGGTTTTTATGAACCAACAGACGACATTTATCGAATTGCCGTCAGCACCGATGCAGTCAATTTATAACATAATCCAGCAAGTCGTAAAGTCAAACATTCCCTTTTTCATTACTGGCGAAACCGGTGTCGGTAAAGAAGGCATCGCAAGATATATTCATGAAAGTAGTCCACGGAAGAATAAACCGTTCATAGCCATCAACTGCGGTCGATTCTCCGCTGAACTCCTCCAGAGTGAACTCTTTGGACATGAAGCGGGCGCGTTTACGAGTGCGATACGCCAGCGTCAAGGGGCGTTTGAAGCTGCAGACGGTGGGATTCTCTTTTTAGATGAAGTTCCGGAAATGTCCTTGGACGCACAGAAAATGCTCCTCCGCGTCTTGGACACTGCCACATTCACACGGCTCGGTGGAAATGAAGTCTTGACTGTCGATGTTCACATTATCGCCGCTACAAACAGGGATATTGCGAACGCTGTCGCTAAAAGGGAATTTAGGGAAGACCTCTACTACCGGCTTAAGGGTATGATGCTTCACCTACCGCCACTTCGGGAACGCACAGAAGATATTGCCCCCTTAGTGACCGCTTTTATTAGCGAGTTCAGCACCGAATATGGGAAAAACGTTACCGAAATTACCGCGGATGCACTTAAACGTCTCGAACAGCGGCATGCGCACCCGGCAAGATCCGGACAACCCGGCACCCGCACTATCCAAACCGCTGTCGCGCTTGCAACAACAGATGAACTTGAACTCAGAGATTTTCCAGATATATATCCAGAGTTCATTCAGACGCTCATCTCTATCTGGCAGACGCTCCCTTCGGAAATGCAGCACGCAATTGGGAGAACATTCCTGAGCAAGGCGGCACGCGATACGCATGAGTGCGTACACAACACGCGTTTCTTCTCCTCCCCTCTCGGCGGCACCAGACACATGTCGGCGCGGAACTTGCATGTCTCCTCACATCCGAAACGAGCGATCTTTGACGGCGACACCTCCTCATATATCGAAATATGCAATCTGAATCACCCAATCCTGCACTGATAGTCAGCCCAGCGGTACTTGAACACCATCCTCTTAGTACATCTTTACGTGAGCAGCCGAATACTTAGATAGTGACCTTCGAACCCTGCAGAGATATGCACACTGGAAGGACTCAGAAGAACGAAAGCGCGCAGAATTCACATCAGGGCATTCGTGTATACGCAAACATTTAGTCACGTAACCAAAATCCAAATATAGCGTTAATGGTAGCCGTTAATGCAATCAGTGCCACACACAACCAGAAACCCACAAATGTGCTATGCGAAAAACCGGTTTCGTTGTGCCGTTGACGAATGATAGTTTTTAGACAGCGAAGAAAGGTGAGCGTGGACCAGAACCGTGGCGGAACTTGCATGCTTCCTACATTCCGAAAACGAGCGAAGACGGCGAATTCCTCAATATCGAAAATATGAATCTGAATCAAATCCTGCATATAGTTGCCCAGAGGCGTATTGAACAATATACATCTTTACGTGAAGCAGCCGAATCCTTAGATATTGACCTTCGAACCTTGCAGAGATATGCACAATGGAAGGAATCAGAAGAATAAAGCGCAGAATTCCATCAGGCTTTCGTGTATACGCAACATTTTAAGTCAACCAAAATCCAAATATAGCGTTAATGGTTAGCGTTAATGCAAATTAATGCAAAAATAAACCCAAAATGTGCTATGGAAAACCGGTTTCCGTGCCGTTGCAATTATATTTTTTAGAAGCGAAAGAAAGGTCGCGCGTGGTAATGACGCACTGTGTTGCGATCCGCTTTTACGGAATACAATTGCCCAATCTTAAATATATTCGTCCAAAATCATAATATACTTAAGGAGCACATTATGAACCAGCAGACGGCATTTATCGAATTGCCATCAGCACCGATACAGACAATCTATGAAACAATTCAACAAGTTGTAAAATCCAACATACCGATCCTCATTACTGGCGAAACCGGCGTTGGTAAAGAAGGCATCGCAAGATACATACATGAAAGTAGCACACGGAAGAATAAACCGTTTATCGCCATCAACTGTGGTCGATTCTCCGCTGAACTCCTCCAGAGTGAACTCTTTGGACATGAAGCGGGCGCGTTTACGAGTGCGATACGTCAACGCCAAGGGGCGTTTGAAGTCGCAGACGGTGGGATTCTCTTTTTAGATGAAGTCCCCGAAATGTCCTTGGACGCACAGAAAATGCTTCTCCGCGTCTTGGACACTGCCACATTCACACGGCTCGGTGGAAACGAGGCATTGGCTATTGATATTCACATTATCGCTGCAACAAACAGAGATATTGTGAAAACAGTCGCTGAAAAGGAGTTTCGGGAAGACCTCTACTACCGGCTTAAGGGTATGATGCTTCATTTACCCCCACTTCGGGAACGTACAGAGGACATTGCACCTTTAGTGGCAGCTTTTATTAATGAGTTCAGTGCTGTCTATAGAAAAGGTGTTACAGGAATTACCGCAGAGGCACTCAAGCGTCTCGAACAGGCAGCATGGCCCGGCAATATCCGGCAGCTTCGGAGCACCATCCAAACTGCTATCGCGCTCGCAACAACAGATAAACTTGAGCTCAAAGACTTCCCGGATATTTACCCGGATTTCGTTCAGACACTTACCTCTATCTGGCAGACACTCCCGCCAGAGACCCAGCACGCAATTTGGGAAACACTTCAACCAGAAACACGGCATGCAATTGTGCATGAACTTTCAACGCGGTCCCCAGGACAGTGGTGTAGTTCTCAGGTTTCCTATATGCCGAGAATCGGTGGAAAAGCGGAGTCGCTCAATATAGGGGATATGAACCAAAATCAAATCCTACGGGCCGTTGCTCAAAAACGTATTCAGCAATGTACATCGCTACGCGAGGCAGCCGAATCGTTAAATATTGATATACGGACCCTTCAGAGATATGCACACTGGGAAGAACCAGATAACTAATACCAAATTAACCCCATTTGTAGCGCGAGGTCCCTGTGCCTCGCAATGCTGACTTGATCAAAAGACTTCTAATCAAGTTAATTTGGTATAAGTGGCATAAATTTCTTCAACAAGAGATTAAAGTGCTAAACACCCGTGTAACTTCATAACACAATCCGGTCTAATAAATAATACAATACAGTACGGAAACCGAAAGAGAACTCCCTATAGCACAACGAGACAACCTAAATCTCAGCTATAGGGAGTTTTCTTTTTATGTCTTCATAGGTGTCAAACCTCCTACCATAACTGAGTGCCGGAAATCGATCACCATAGGTGTCAATTTAGTGGTCATCCAGGCCCGGTAGGTTCGGTTTTGCGGCGTACACGCCCAAATTTTGCCCACACGCGGCAAAATTTGTCTTTGCTTTACATTTGCGATCTGCATTCCTAACCGAACCGGGCTTAACCCAAGAACAGTAGGCTCCTTTGAGCAACGGAGACCCCTAACCTGAAAAACGCGTGCTTCTTCGGAAACCAACATGAGTGAAACCTCCAAGCCTGAAGCGTCGCAGCGTCGGGTCCATATCGGTCTGCATCACGATATTCATTTTCTCAGATACGCGCAGCGATGGGTTTTCGCGGATGTCCCGGTTCGGTTAGGAATGCAGATCGCATTTGGGTGAGGACACCGCAAAACCGAACCTACCGGGCCGGAGGGATTCAGCGCGTAACTTTTTCTTAAATTGACACCTATGGAGCAGCAAACAGCAGCCCCAGCGGGGCGACAGGTGTATAGAAGATAAAAGTCACACGGCGCGCGTCGCACCTATCCTATAAACCCTCTAATCCTGTAAATCCTGATTCAGACAGAGAACTGAAATTGAATACCTCTGCTTTAGGTATTATTTAGGTTGACATTACGCTATATCCGCGCGTATAATAGTAATATTATCAGATCTGATAATAGAGGGACATTTGGAACACCTCAATTTTTTGACTTCTTAACATGTGAGGAATAATCGAATTGGCTCAACAAAAAGCTACTAATATAACGTGGCACGAAGCGATTGTCACGGCAGAAGATAGAGAAAAATTACTGAATCAGAAAGGCTCCGTGATTTGGTTCACCGGACTCTCCGGCTCAGGTAAATCGACATTAGCAAACGCAGTCGAACAGGTATTGCATCAACAACGGCACCACACGTATGTCTTAGACGGCGACAATGTACGACACGGGCTGAACAAGAATTTAGGCTTCTCACCAGAGGACCGCGAGGAAAACATCCGCCGCATCGGCGAAGTCGCGAAACTCTTTGCGGATGCAGGCACAATCGTCATGACAGCCTTCATTTCGCCTTACTGCGCCGACAGAGATCAGGCAAGAGCACTCATCGCTGAGGATAGATTCGTTGAAGTTTTCGTCGACTGCCCACTCGATGTTTGCGAAGAACGGGATACGAAAGGCTTATACAAAAAGGCACGTGCTGGAGAGATTAAGGAATTTACAGGCATCAGCGCACCTTACGAACCGCCTCTGAACCCAGAGGTCACAGTGAACACCGCAGCACTCTCTATTGAAGAATGCGCGCAGGCAGTTGTCAAAACTCTTGTGAAAGCCGGTCTTGTTCCTGCAGGCAATTAACAGGCGAGAACGCACCGCTTCAACATTAAAAGTAGGGCACAGAAATGGAATCAGTGATCACGGATTTCAATGAAAACGGGTTCTCTATTCTGCACGGCATTTTGGCTTCGGAGACACTTGAAGCCGTCAAGCATGAATGTAAAACGTTAGTCGATGCACTCGCCTCACAACGGCAAACAGAAGGAAAACTGGCGAACATGTATCCCGATGCCGATTTTGAAACCCGCCTGATTCGGCTCTATGAAAATTACCCAGATGAAAACCCGACTATTTTTCGACCGGAACTACATCGTGAAGGGTTTTTCGGCGTGTTTGCGCACTCTATCCTACTTGAACTTGCCGGTGTTATCTTAGGTCCAGAGATCCGATTGTACCCGAACTATTCCGTCCGCCCAAAACTACCTGAGAACAAACGAACGGAGGTGTTGTGGCATCAAGACGCAGGCTACACTTCAAAGGAAGCCGATGTGTTGCGGATGATGAACGTTTGGGCACCGTTAGTGCCGGTTAACATCGAAAACGGGTGCATGGAATTCATTCCGGGGAGTCACAAGTGGGGTGTCGTGCCGCACGAAAAAGACGAATACTACCTACGCATCCACGATGATTATATCAAGCCTGTTGAAGCGGATGCTGTATCCATTGAAATTTTGCCGGGGGATGTCGTCATTTTTAGTAACCTACTATTTCACCGTGGACTACCAAACCGCGCTCAACATGTCCGATGGAGCCTTGATTTCCGATATCAAGATGCCACACAACCGACGCTCCGGACAACACAAGGGCATCTACTCAGATCGCAAAGGACACCAGAAGCGGTTGTAAAAGATGCTAAAGCGTGGGCACAACTTGAATTCCAGTAAGCGATTTTTTGTATAAAGCAAGATGACTTATTGAACGTGCTACGCAAGGACAACAACGCATGAAATTAATTCAATTTCACCTACCTAATTTAGGCAAGCGGGTCGGAATTGTCACCCGCGACGAGGAAGTGATTGACGTAACAAGCGAGGAATCCGCCGGTGTCTTAGAAGTTTTGGCACTCGCACATCAGGAACAGGTAAGCCTCGGTGTCATACTCGCTGATATTCAAGAGAAAGTAGCAACGCCCGCGCCGATGCAACTCCCTTCGTTTGCAGATGCCGAAAACGCATCAACGGAACCTGAGGGGCTTACGTTAAAAAAATTGGATGTCGCACCCGACGAAAATGTGCCACATCTCTTACCACCGATTGATGCACCCGAAGTATGGGGATGCGGTGTAACCTACAAACGGAGCGCAGAGATGCGCGACGACGACACCGAACAAGACATCTACAGCCGCGTCTATCACGCTGACCGTCCTGAGATATTCTTCAAAGCGACACCCTCACGCTGTGTCGGTCCCAACGGTTTTATCGGCATCCGAAGCGATTCTACGCTGACAGCAACAGAACCTGAACTCGCATACATCCTCGGTGGCGACGGTGAGATCGTCGGATACACCCTCTGCAACGACGTATCCGCATGGGACATTGAACGCGATAACCCGCTTTACTTGCCGCAATCCAAAGTTTTTTACGGGTGCTGTGCACTCGGTCCGATGTTTCTCACGCCATCTGAAGTAGACGACCCATATAATTTAGATATGCAGTGCACCGTCCTTCGGGATGCAGACGTTATCTATCAAGGCGAGGTGAACACATCTCAAATTAATTGGAAGTTTGAACAACTCACCGAATTCCTGATGCGAGATAACCCGATTCCGCTCGGCACCGTTGTCTCAACTGGGACCGGTATCATTGTCCCGAACGACTTACCGCTTGCCGCAGGCGACATTGTGGAGATAGAGATTGACGGGTTCGGCACGCTGTCAAACCCCGTCAAGCAGTTTTAGGAGGCACCGCATAATGAACCACAGTAGCGAACCCTTTATCGGTATGCACAAAACGGAATTGGATACACCCGCACTGCTGATTGATCTCGACAAAATGGAAGCCAACATACAGACAATGGCGAACTATTTCAGCACAGTCAACGCGGATCTGAGACCGCACTTGAAAACGCATAAAACACCGATTATTGCGCATAAACAGATTGCAGCGGGTGCCATCGGTGTTACATGTGCGAAACTCGGTGAAGCAGAAGCAGTTATTCACGCTGGTATCCGAGATGTGCTGATTGCCAATCAGATTGTCGGGGCTCAAAAGATTGCACGGCTCATTAATCTCGCGAAACATTCGGAAATAATGGTTGCAGTGGACAATCCGCAGAACATCCAAGCCATCTCTGAGGCAGCAGCTGCCAAAGGTGCAACCGTTAGAATGTTAATAGAGGTGAACATCGGTATGGACCGATGCGGTGTTGAATCCGGTAAACCGACGCTCGAATTAGCAGAGCAGATACGCCGAAGTCCCAACTTGGTTTTTGAAGGCTTAATGGGATATGAAGGACATACCGTCGCGAAACCGAACCGAGCCGAACGCGATGCCGCTGCACGCGAGGCTATGCAACGCCTACTGGACGCGAAACACTATCTTGAAAAACAAAGTATAGAGGTTCCCATCATGAGCGGCGGCGGCACCGGTACCTTTAATATCACTGGAAGCATCCCAGAGATGACAGAGGTGCAGGCGGGTTCTTACGTTCTCATGGACTCCACCTACCGCAACGTGGAAGGTATCGGAGAAGAGTTCGACTGCGCTTTGTCGGTTTTAGCAACTGTTGTGAGTCGTCCAAACCCTGACCGAATAATAGTGGATACTGGCTTGAAAGTGCTTGCCAAGGAATTCGGTATTCCACAACCCGTTGGTGTAACAGGCGTAGAAATGACTGGACTTTCCGAAGAGCACGGAAAAATGCAGGTATCTGACGAAAATGTTGCCCTCAAACCCGGCGATAAACTCGAAATTTTACCAACGCACTGTTGCACGACAGTGAATCTCCACGACAGGTATTACGGCATCCGTAACGGGATTGTCGAATCTGTGTGGGACATCACAGCGAGAGGCAAATCACAATAATGATTACGACAACTACACATACAATTGAAGGCAGAAAGATCCGAGAATACATCGGGCTCGTTACAGGCGAAGCGATTATGGGGGCGAACATGTTTCGCGATTTTATGGCAGGGATTACCGATCTCATCGGAGGCAGATCCGGCACCTATGAAAGCAAACTTGCGGATGCTCGTGAGACGGCACTTCAGGAGATGCAAGAACTCGCACAACAGCAAGGGGCAAATGCTGTCGTCGGGATTGACATTGACTATGAGGTGCTTGGTGCACGCAACGGTATGCTGATGGTAACCGCAACCGGAACCGCTGTCAAAATTGAATAAAACTACTTTGTGGATAGTAGCCTTAGGGATGTTCGGCTTGCGGATCCGGTAAGCACATCCCCCACAAAAAACAAATTATACGATTTCTAAAAGTTTATATCGCATTATTTAACCGCACCATCCTCCAGGCCCGGTAGGTGCGGTTTTGAGATGTACTCACCCAAATTTTGCCCACACGCGGCAAAATTTGTCTTTGCTTTACATTTGCGATCTGCATTCCAACCGCACCGGGCATAATCAAAAACAGTAGACTCTTTATGAGAAATCATCAATTAGAATTGGTATTATACCAAATTAACCCCATTTGTAGCGCGAGGTCCCTGTGCCTCGCAATGCTGACTTGATCAAAAGACTTCTAATCAAGTTAATTGGGTATTACATAGGAGAAAAAATCAATGCAAATGTCAATATGGGCTGAAAAATTACAGAGAGTTTGGAAATCTTTTTATTTTCTAAGTCTACTTACCGTAAGTCTTCTACTACTAAATCCTCCGGTTTTCAGAAGGCTATATCGCAAAACGTTATACCATACCGCAAATTGTCAAGGAGAGTAGTAACGTTGTTTACGGCACTATTACAGTTGTCAATACCAAGCGAAAGACTGCGGATATCAAAGTTGAAGAAAACCTCAAAGGCACCAGCGATTTTCAGGTGATTAAGATGCGGTTTGATGTCTATAAAGGAGGCGAAGACCATCGGAAAGAAATTATCGGTTTCCTGAAAGTGGGTGAACCGGTTATCATCTGTTATCTGAGAGACGGCGGACGCATTGATAGCATCGCGCACACAAGAGGAAAATGGTTCCAAACCCAAGTCACACGGCAAGACAGAGGTTGGGGCAGGTGGATGTTTACACACTTCGAGAAATACCTCAATAAAGACAAGGTATCAAGAAGAGATTCAACTCCTGATCTTCTGAAAGAACTTCGCGGAATGTTAGGGGAAGACGCTATCCAACTTTTTTATCTGAAGACAGACAGGTATAAGGAAGAATCCCCTATTATCTCCGACATCAATTCGATCAGAGAACGTTGGATTGCCCATCACGGAACGACGAATCGAGACCTACCCGGACTCAGTGAGGCTGACATCTTATGGCTCGGTTTCCGTACCATCTCACGAGACGGAAAATACCGTTTTAACAATAAACAAGAAAATCGGATTAAAGAATTCGTGAAAAACGGCGGTGTTGTCATTGTCTCCGGTCAAGATAGCGATGAAGAAAACCCATGTCGTACAGGATGGTTACCCGAACCCCTCAACGGCATAGAGAGTTCACAACGAAATGATTTTCAACCGACTTCCGCTGCTGGTGAACTCTTTAAAGCACCGCACCGTATCCGTTCAGGGCAGCTGGCACTTGACGACTCATGGGGCGGATGGAATCAAAAGTATCAAGTACTGGCAACTACCAACGGTGGAAAAGAGATCGTCGTCGCTAAACTGAAATATGGAAAAGGTATGTATCTGATCACCAATCTCCGCAATAGTCAGAAAACGGAAGCCTATAAAAATCGTCGGATGCTTGAGAATCTGGTGCATTTCGCTGTCAAGTTCTTGGAAAAATCCCAATAAGATGTGAGGAATTACAGATGAATAAAGCGAGTTTAAAACAGAGTATACAGGACCGTAGTCATAAGACATGGAGGCTCGGTTCCTCCGGCAAACTGCTACTAATGGTGAGTCTCCTATTCATTTTCTTGTCTTCTGCAAGTCCGGCACATGCAGTTATCCCGCAGCTTCTCGGACCGCTCACTGCGTTGCTGAGTATCGTCCCACAGATTCTTGCTTTTGTTGGGATCGCGCTGATAACAGCACTCGTTTTTGCGCGGGATACCACTAAAATGCTCTTCTACAAGTTCCGAGACTTCGCGACCGCTCATAAGGCTACCATCTCTATCATTAGCGTGATTGTCCTCCTCGCAGCCACCGTCGGGATCTACCAACTGGTTCGGACACCGACCGCCTCATTTGAAGCAAATGTTCAAAATGCTGGCATTCGGAATGTAAAAGCCAACAGGACCTGGGCAACTTTCCGCGGGAATAAGAACCGAACAGGTCATTTAGACGCGTTCCCGGGCCCGACAAACGGAACACCGGTATGGGTCTTCAAAGAAGAAGATGCCATGGCGGTTGACTTCTCTTCATCGCCAGCGGTTGTTGGGAATCGGCTCTATATCGGATCTTCGTACGGTTCATTCTTTTCATCAAGGGGTGCAACGTACTGCATTGATACAGAGTCCCAAGAGATTATCTGGCGGCACGCTTCCGATACCCCGATTTTCTCATCACCAGCAGTGGCGGGCGGCAGAGTCTACATCGGCGAAGGTTACCATGAAAATAGCGATTGCCACCTCCGGTGTCTTGACGCAAAAACCGGCGAACCGATCTGGTCCTTCCAAACAGCAAGCCATGTCGAGTCAACCCCTTTTATCAGTCAAGGCAAACTCTACTTTACTGCCGGTGCTGATGGCATCTACTGCATTGATGCCTTAGAAGGAGAGGAAATTTGGCACTATGAAGGCGTGCATGCCGATATGTCACCCGTTGTACATAATGGAAAATTATACTTCGGGACAGGCTACGGCAATTATCGGATATACGCCGTTGATGCCCAAACAGGTACTGAAATCTGGTCAAAGCAGATGCCATATCCTGTCTGGGGGAGTCCAAGTACAGATGAAAATCTCGTTTTCTTTGGACTCGGACGCGGTAATTTTTCGGATAGTGATCCTATACCCGCCGGTAAAGTCGTCGCCGTTGATGCAGAAACCGGGGACACAGTATGGGAACACGAGGCAAAAGATGCTGTCCTCACTGCGATCGCCGTTCAGAACGGCAATGTTACCTTCGGTTCCCGTGATGGATCTGTCTATTGCCTCCGAGCGACAGACGGAAAACGCAACTGGCAAACCGGACTCGGTAACCCAGTTGTTTCCTCTCCAGCTGTAACGCCGGATACCGTCTATGCCGCAACGAAAAACGGGAACATCTACGCCTTTATCCACTGACGATGGAAAAGTGAAATGGGAATTTAACACAAGAACTGTCACCCGAAACATAGAACTCTATTCATCACCTGCGGTTGCCAATGGCTTCGTATATATCGGTTCAAGCGACCGGTACATTTTCTGTTTCGGTGGCGATAACAACGATAAAATTATCGGTGACCGCTAACTTGGAGAAAGAAAAATGAAGAACCATGTCTTGATCGCAACAGCCCTATTAGTTTTACTCGCAAGCACCGTAGCAGATGCACAGTGGCGGAGTAAAACCCATGACGAATATAAGGCACTAACTGGGATTGATGTTAAAATTGATGGTGACCTTGGCGAATGGGACGGAGTCCTCGACACAGTCAAAGGCACTAATGGCAAACCGTTTTGTGGCGTTGAATACGAAGGCAATGTCTTTCAGGAGCACGGCGGTGGAAAATGGAAGGGTGCTGATGATCATGAAACCTGTTTCATGATCGTATGGGATTCAAAAGCTGTCTACATTGGGCTCATTGTTACCGATGACGAGCACGAACACGCAGCTGCCGCTGGATGGAACGGCGATGGCGCACAACTCGCCTTTGAAATGAGCGGCAAACGTACCGCTGGTATACAGATGTTTCTTTACAATATCGGTTTAGACGATAAAGCGAAAGATATACTCCCTGGGGCTTTAAATGAAAATCCCGGGGGTGGAGGTATTGTTCCCGGTGATGATATTGCCGTTGTTCGCGACGAAGGCGATAAGAAGACCTACTACGAACTCCGATTCACCGCTGAAGAATTGCAAGTAAAAGGCGACAAATTCAGTGAGGGGGATGAGTTCGGTCTCGGCATCTGTGTCAATGACGGCGACAAAGCCGCTGGACAGGGTGGTCAAAAGGGATGGAGTGGATGGTATACTCATTCTATCGTCTTCGGAAAAAAATTCGGAAAATACGGGACTCGTTACCCTTACCGATGAAGTCCTCGCTGTTGAAGCAGCTAATAAGTTAACCACGACATGGGGTAAACTGAAAACCGTCCAATAACTAACGCTTTCACACACGTCAAAAGCAGGTCAAACGAACCGCTGCTTTTCTATTCGGTTTGGGTAGGGATAGCCTGCCCAAACAATCAATAACCGGTAGCACATCCGTTGTGCTACCGGATCACAACAATACAAAAGAGGAAAACACAAAATGAAAAAAGTTGCTTTTAGCTTTACTACGCTGCTCACGATTGCCGTATTCTTGTTTACAATCGGTATATCGGATGCACAGTGGCGAAACGAAACACACGATGTCTACAACGCCCCTACAGGTGTCAATGTTACGATTGACGGAGATCTGAGTGAATGGGGAGAAGTCATGGATGCAGTTACAGGGACCAACGGGACTGCGTTCTGCGGTGTTGAATTTGAAGCCAATGGTGGCGACATTAAGGCGTTTGAAGAATACAACGGCGGTGTATGGAACGATGCCAACGACCACGAAACTTGTTTTATGTTTGCTTGGGATGCGGATGCGCTTTACCTCGCCCTCAGCGTCACCGATGACGATCATGAACACGCAGCCGCTGCGGCATGGAACGGCGACGGCGCACAACTCGCTGTTGAACCGACGGGTAGCGGGAAGCAGGATTGCCCCTCTTCCTTTACAATATCGGTTTGGATGGTGCCGGTGAAAATGTCATCCTACAGAATGAGAGAACGAACGGTAGCCCCGGTCTCGTTGCCGATGATGCTGCGATTGTCCGAGACGAGGGTGCCAAAAAGACCTACTACGAGTTTAGATTCCCCGCAACAGAACTACAAATTGAAGGCGATCAATTCAGCGAAGGCGCGGAAATCGGGGTCGGCATCTGTATCAACGATGGAGACAACGGTGAAGGTCAGACTGGACAGAGAGGTTGGGATGGATGGTACCCGCATGCTGTCGTCTACGGTAAGAATTCCGAAAAGACAGGACTTGTCATACTCAGCAGTACGGCGGTAACCGCCGTTGAACCTGCCGACAAGTTAACCACAACTTGGGGTGCACTTAAATCTGTCCGGTAACAGGACAAGTCTACAAGAAAAGCCGCCAACAGTCTTGGCGGCTTTTTTATTGTCTTTCACCTAATGATCATGATCGTGGTCATGATCGTGGTCGTGATCATGATCGTGGTCATGGTCCTTGTCATGATCGTGGTCGTGATGATTTGCTTTATGGTAGTGCAATCGGAGCAGATCAACACCAAAATCGTCTGCGATATGCCGCCACACAGAGTGAATATGGTTCGCATCGTTCTGCGTGTTATCATACTCCACAAAGAAAAACGGACCGTGTAGTCTATAATAGTGCGGTGTCTTCGGTGCTGCATCTCCTGCCCATGCGAAGTGGATGTCATTGACGCTCCCTTCTCGTAGTTTACGGAGCTCAATTTGAGCAACTTCGTCAGGAAGGCGATCAATATATTCATGGACGAGTTCCATTAAGATCTCGCGCTGCTGCGTTTCCATGGATTCAGCGGCTAACCCTTCAACACTTTCAAATTCAACTTTAGGAACATCGCGCGTCAAAATATCGGATGGTGCCTCCGTATTAATGATTGTCTGACGCTTTTGCGTATCGTCGAGACTCACAAGGAGCCTGCGCGCGATATCTTCTTCGGCAGCAAGAACCCTCAATCCTTTTTTCTCGCCCTGCGGCACCTCTGCCGGATTAGAACCGAAGAATGAAGGGTTCGGCGAAATGAGTTCGCGATTGACGACAGTAAAGTTAAGCGAGACATGGTGTCCCTCAGCGCGCCAGCCCCACGCGCCATTGCCTGTCGGGTCTCCAAATACAGTGAAAAAGTAGAACCCCGGATCACGCACAAGTCGTGCCTGTCCGGCAGCCTTTTCAATCTCACCGAGCGTTGTCTCCAAATTGATAATAGCGCGGCTTTCTGATACCCTTTCGCGCTCAATCCGCTCTCCATAAGCCCAAACGCTGCCCCTTGCTGTTTCGTGTTTAGATCTTTGAGAGAGACACCTTCCCGTTCCCACATTTCTATAGGGATATAGTGCCACCGGAACCGCTCGTTTCCATCAAAGGCGAGTGCCGCCTTCTCGCGTAAAGCCGGTGTCAATGTATCCAAAAAGTTCCCCGCCGCCTGTGCCATCCGTTCAGCTGTTGCTGAAGCAGGGATAAACAAGGGCTTCAGTTCGGCATCAGTATGTGTGTGTGCCACAAATAGTACCTCCATTAGCGTAGAACTACAGTCCGCGGACCGCGCCCTACAAATTCTGTTAATTCAGTTCCCTCACGAAACCTATTTTAAACCAACAGCACACGAAAATCAAGTGTTTTAACGACATATTCAGAACCACTCGGCTTTCTATGTTCTTTTGCCCTATAGCGAAGTTTCAAACTTCGCCAGCGATGAAAGCTGCGTAATGGGCACCTATACCTGATAACAGGATGCTATAATACCAAATTAACCCCATTTGTAGCGCGAGGTCCCTGTGCCTCGCAATGCTGACTTGATCAAAAGACTTCTAATCAAGCTAATTGGGTATAATAACTATAGTTTGGACAATTTTAGAAATGGGCAAATGTCTCCGCTGAGAACCCTCTGCCGTAGCATAGACTGTCAGTCTGTGCCTTGATCGCATAGACTTGTTAACAAACACCGACGCGCAGCCGCGATATTCAGTTATTTTTCTCTGAGTTTCCCAGACACGCGAACTCGCAGAAAAAGGATCTCATGTGCCAATAACCGCAGCCCCAGCGGGGCGGAATGTTTATAGAAACGCGTTTCCACACCTTCTTGGTTTCCCCAGCGGGGCGATATATGTAGAAAAAAAAGATGTTAGGTTTCGACAAATACCTAAGGTGTTTCTCGATCCAGACTATCACCTAAGTATTCTCAAAAATTGTCCAAAGTTTAGTATATAGGACTTACGCAGCAAGCGTCTGTTCGCCGAGGTCCCCGTGCCTCGGCACCCTATCTTCTCAATAAAATAGAACTCACGCAGCAAGCATCTGTTCGCCGAGGTCCCCGTGCCTCGGCGCCCTATCTTCTCAATAAAATAGGACTCACGCAGCAAGCGTCTGTTCGCCGAGGTCCCCGTGCCTCGGCGCCCTATCTTCTCAATAAAATAGGACTCACGCAGCAAGCATCTGTTCGCCGAGGTCCCCGTGCCTCGGCACCCTATCTTCTCAATAAAATAGGACTCACGCAGCAAGCGTCTGTTCGCCGAGGTCCCCGTGCCTCGGCGCCCTATCTTCTCAATAAAATAGGACTCACGCAGCAAGCATCTGTTCGCCGAGGTCCCCGTGCCTCGGCGCCCTATCTTCTCAATAAAATAGGACTCACGCAGCAAGCGTCTGTTCGCCGAGGTCCCCGTGCCTCGGCGCCCTATCTTCTCAATAAAATAGGACTCACGCAGCAAGCATCTGTTCGCCGAGGTCCCCGTGCCTCGGCACCCTATCTTCTCAATAAAATAGGACTCACGCAGCAAGCGTCTGTTCGCCGAGGTCCCCGTGCCTCGGCACCCTATCTTCTCAATAAAATAGAACTCACGCAGCAAGCATCTGTTCGCCGAGGTCCCCGTGCCTCGGCACCCTATCTTCTCACGGTTTTGCTTGCAGCATCCAAAGCGTCCGCTTTCTTCCCAAATGGCGTTTGCGTAAGTCCTAGTATAATAACGTGAGTTCGATAATAAAAATTGAAGAGGTCCCGTAGGTTGGGTAAAGCCGTGAATCACCAAGAACCCTTCAGACTACCAACAAAAGCTTGCTTTTCAATGACACATTCATACAAATAGACTCAGCAAAACCCAACAAGCCAACTGAAAACTGATAACTATTAACGAAAAAATCTTGACATCTGCTCATAAATTTTGTAAACTTATTTTAACGGTTTCCGTTAAACAGTATGTTAGCATACAATTGTCCACCTCTACCTTAGGTTAGGTGAGGCAAAACTTCAAACCGATACTCAAAAAGTCGGGACTCATGGACAAATTGATTGATGATGAATTGTTAGTCACTCAGTTTCAAGCCGGTCGCCAAAATGCCTTTGATGAGTTGATGAAACGTTACAAATCCAAGATTTTCTCGTATCTTCTACGTTCCGTCAGAAATTACGAGGATGCCGAGGACATCACCATTGAAGTCTTTTTCAAAGCGTACCGCGCCTTAGAAGGTTGGCAACCGAAAGCCAAATTTTCGACATGGCTTTACAAGATTGCGTCCAATCTTGCTATCGATTACCACCGTGCGAAAGCGCGTCACCCTGTCTATGCGTTGGAGGACACAGAAATTCCTGAAGCGCGTCTCGTTGCCACCGATCTCCATAGCGATCCGGAGAAACAACTCGTAGAGAAAGAACGCGGTCTCATGATCCGCGAGGCGGTTGATCAACTCTCCCCGAAACAGAAAGCAGTCTTCATGCTAAGTCGGTATGAAGGCTTGCAACTTAAAGAAGTCGCTGAAACGCTGGATATGGCGGAAGGCACCGTGAAAATTCACCTCCACCGCGCAGTAAAACGACTCCAAACGCTCCTACGTCCACTGTGGGAAAACAACGAAATTTGAAAGGAGAAGGGTTTATGCCTAAGTGTAAGAAATCCGAAGGGCAAGCTATCGATTATGCTTACAATCTTCTGCCGCCCGCAGAAGAAGAGCCCTTTGAAGAACATCTCAAGAATTGCGAGGACTGTACCGAAGCCGTTGAATCTTGTACAGCAGTCCTTGAATTAACAGACGAGGCACAAGAAGAACTCGTCGTGCCTGAACTTGCACTTCAGAACATCGAAATGAACGTGTACAAACGGCTCGCTGCGACACAAGAGCAGACGCTGTTCTCACGCGTTCGTACTTACCTTGCGAGTGTCGGAGCTCCCTTTGGCTGGTACAAAACCGCTGCGGTAAGCAGTATCGCCATCGCTTTGATTGCCGCTGTTGTCCTAATCGGAAAGCCCATCCAACCTGAAGTGACTTTGCAGTTATCCGAAGCACAGTCCGCGGATGCACGTATCGAACAGTATCGCCAGCAAGGCATTCAACGAAATTTAGAGGAGGTACTGATTGCGCATCACCTCCGCAATGACGCATGGGAGACAGAAAGTCAGCTCCACCGAATGAAAGAACAGGCACACGGCACAAATTGGACAAAAAGTTGCGGACAAACATCTTCAGAACCTTCAATCTGGGAATTCAACTTTACAATAGCACTATTAAGGGATATTAGCCATGAAAACGTCAAGCAGGCTTACATTTCTCTTACACGCGCTGCTGATAATTCTCATCAGCCCGTTTGCACACGCGCAATCTGAAGAGGTGAATACCTTAATTCAGGCGGGACGCTACTCGCAAGCCAGCAATACACTTGAGTCACTTGCCGAGTCTGCTAAAGACATTGCTGTGAAAAGCTGGTGCTACCATCAGATCGGCGAAATACATTATAACTATACCCATCAGTACACGAGAGCCGTCGCGGCTTATGATAAAATCCTGAAACTTGAAAAAAAGGGGCTTGCCGCTGAGGAACTCTTCCTTACCATCATCAAGAAAGGTGATGTTTATACGCGCATGGGCAATTACCAAGACGCTATCCAAACTTACAATAGACTCATTAAACTTGCCCCTGCTTCCCACTTCGTGCATAAAACCGGATTACAAAAAATTCGGGACATCAATACCGCACTTGCGGATCTCAGGGAACAACAACGCATCGCAATCCAATACAAAGGCACCCCTCTTGCCGTTATTGCCCAATTCCAGATAGCTGAACTCTATAGGAATCCATCGCAACTCAACCAACCCGAAAAGGCAATCGAGAAGTATGAGGCACTCTTAAAAGCACACCCTGAAGCGACTGTCGCACCGGAAGCGAGATGGCGCATCGCAAACTTAAGGCATACCGTGCTTAACCAATCAGCATTGGCGATGGCAACCTATAGGAAAGTTGTTGACGACTATCCTACGAGCAACTTCGCTGCCGAGGCACTTTTCCAAATGGCAAATATCCATCGTACTACCGAAAAATATTCGTTAGCGATCCCTGTGTTTGAGAGACTAAAACAGAGATACCCTAATTTCTGGAATATGCACGCCGTTCTCTATTGGATGGGGGTCTGTTATGAGAAGAATCTGCACTATCCGAAAGCGATTGAGGCTTTTAAAACCTTCCTCCACGTCTATCTGCCACAACTCGGTCCAGGGTATTTAGGACAGATCTCGATGCACGATAAGAGCCTGTCTGAAGTGAAAACACAGATTGGTCAGAAAATCGAGGAACTCACACAACAGATGTCGGAAGTGGAAGCAGAACGGCTGGATGCCGCGCGTTCAGAACAGAACTTCGCTTTAGCCTTAGAAATCGCCCAAAAATCTTATCGCAACGGCACCAGATACATCCCATGCGAAACAGGCAACCGAACAAATCTTGACACTTCAACACCTCGCTGCAATTCAAAACCTCCACGAGCAGCTTCACAACAATGCTTCAGGACCCATAGAAGCGGCACGTGCTCTGTTTCAAATCGGCACCATCTATGAACGACAGTTGCAGGATTACCCAAAGGCTATTGAGGTGTATCAAGAGGTATCGAAATACCACCCTGAATCGACCTACGCCGCTGAAGCCCTCTATCGCAGTGGACTCGTTCATGCCGAGCATCTCTCTGCACCTAATGAAGCGATCGAAACTTACAAAAAGGTGATTGCATCGCACCCGAACACCCTACAAGCAATGATGGCGAACTTCCAACTGGGTGAGCTCTACAGAGAACTACACCGCTACAACGAAGCATTGCAAGCCTACGAGACAACCATCGGTTATCCAGAACGCGACCGGTATCTCGCTGGCGGGTATAAGGATAGTTTCGCCGATCGGGCACAATTCCGCATCGGTCGCGTCCACTACGATGACAATCGTTACGACGAGGCACACTTCGTTTTTGAGGAGTTCATTCAGAACCGCACACGATCTCCACGTCTTGCCGCCGCCTACATCTACCTCGCCGCTATCAGTGAAGAACGTGCCGAAAATAGCCAAGCCGTGGAATTCTACAAAAAGGCAGAGGCATTAATCAAGGATAATCCTGTCCAAATGACGACGCTCATCGAAGAAGCCAGCGCACTCGGCACCCTCCAATCCACCGATCCAGATACGGTTATACAGTACCTCACAGAAAAGCAAAAACGCCTCTCAACACAGTAAACAAAATCCGATTAATAGCGATCTGAAGATTTCTCCCACCTGCTATAAATACTTTGACGCTGAATGTCATGCAGATTTGGAAAATCATATACCAACTCCTCATTTCGGATAATCGGAATTAGGAGGGTGTCCCTCAGAAATCAGTTCATTTTCGAGTTCCAACCCCGGTAGGTGGGGTTTTGCGGCGCACCATAGGTGTCAATTTAGGGTTTTGGGAGCAGCGAATATAAACATGCCCACCCTACAGGGTTTAGATTATTTTTTCCATGCCTTTCTATAAACATACTGAAGAAACAACACCCAAGCAAATAAACCTTACAGGACTCAAGGGGGTCTGAAGTAGCCAAGGTTGTGGTGTAAAATCCGCGCAGTTTCAAACAGCGCCTACGTTTCTGGGGCAGCGAGGGTTATTTTTTCTTAAATTGACACTTATGTGGGGTTTTGCGGCGCACCATAGGTGTAAATTTAAGAAAAACAACCGTCGCGGTCCCCAGGTCCGGTAGGCGCTGTTTTGCGGCGTACACGCCCAAATGCGATCTGCATTTCAACTGCGCCGGATTTTAGGCAGAAACCGTGTATACTCTAAAACCCCTCTTGAGTCCCATAGGGACGGCATCTGTGTAGATACACATTGCGCCAATCTCTTGAACCCCGTAGGGGTGACATCTATAGACACACTACAGTGTGCCTCATAAATAATTTTGAACAGGTTTATGGATATTCATTGTGATGAAGTCATCGTCTCTGGTAAACTTTGGAGATATACCCAAAGTAGGAGATGATTTTATAGAACTGACTGAAAAAGCGTGGCAGTGCCTTGAGCCACCGTTACCAGAACTACCCTTGACCGAAGTTGAACACATGTAGTATCCATCGCGTGCATTTGCGGTAGTTTCTGTCGTTGCTTTGGCAGTTATAGTAAAATCCACAATTACTTATACACTATGGATTGGCGGGGTTAAGCAAAATAAAATACCACAATTTTTTCGTTTCAGTCCAATTTTTGTGCGAATCCACGTTGTTATCCAACAAATTTTGAAGGGTAGCGGATATTTTCGGCGTACTCTCTCCAATGCGACTTTTGACTGATAACTGATGACTGACGGCTATTCTTCACTTGTGTGGTAAAGCGATGCACTTTTCCTATTTTTTTCTTGAATGATATGCTAAAATAATTTATAGTAAAATCCAAAAATATGTTGACACTTTACGGAACCACAACCCTCCCTCGCTGGCGGGGTTTCTAACCCCGCCATTCCGTTGATGTCCAAGTAATTATGGGCTTTACTATAACCTGTTAACCAAAATGCGGTATATGCGTTATTTTCATGTAGTAAAACTGAAGTCAGGGAGATTCATAATGCGAAATGGGCGGGCGATATGTCTCGGGGTTCTCTGTGTCCTTTTTATTACCTCTATGGTGTTCGCACAATCACAGTCAGCAACCGAGACAATTATTGAGAAGATAGGCGAATCAGAGCGGCGAGTCCGCGATCATGTGGATGCGAAAGTCAAAGACGTTGAGACAAAAATTTCGGGAATTGATACAAAGGTTGAAACCCTTAGTACAAAGGTTGGAACCCTCAGTACAGATGTAGCAGTAAACAAAACGAATATAGGGAACATGCAAGAAGACATACGTGATTTAAAAGGGACAGTGGATCGGATTTGGTACGGCATATTAGGAATTTTGGGAACTCTGATAGTTTCTATAGGGGGTTATTTTCTCAAATCATGGTTGCAAAATCGAGGTAAAAAGGACGATGTGGACGCGATAGATCGTTTAACCGAGCAAATCACCAGACTAATCTCAGCACAGGCAGCAATTCCAGAAACGAGAGACGTTCCCGGACACCCCGAAGTACCGAGCGTGGAGCGGTTAGACAAGTTAACAGACGACATACGGTCTATACACCATGATGAAGGGCGAAGAGTCTGATGGAAAACACTAAAAACACAATTGAGAACCCTACATCCGCAGAAGCCTACGTCAATAGGGGTAATAAGTTATACGATCAAGGCGATTATCAGGCTGCTATTTCCGATTATGATGAGGCGATCCGTATAAACCCTGAGTATGCGAGAGCCTACTATAACCGAGGTGCTGCCAAAAGCGAACTGGGAGACCATGAGGCTGCTATCTCTGATTATGATGAGGTTATTCGTCTCGACCCTAATGATGCGATAGCCTACTACAACCGAGGAAACGCCAAAATCGAACTGGAAGACCCCGAGGCTGCTATTTCTGATTATGATGAGGCGATCCGGCTAAACCCTGAATATGCGACAGCCTACGGCAACCGAGGTGTTGCCAAAGGCGAACTGGGAGACCCCGAGGCTGCTATCTCTGACTATGACGAGGTTATTCGTCTCGACCCTAATGATGTGATAGCCTACGGCAACCGAGGTGTTGCCAAAAGCGAACTGCGAAAATATTTTGAAGCCATTTCCGATTATGACCAAGCGATCCGTCTCAACCCTAATGATGCGGTAGCCTACTACAACCGAGGAAATGCCAAAATTCGACTGGGAGACCCCGAGGCTGCTATTTCTGATTATGACGAGGCGATCCGGCTTGATCCTAATGATGCGAGAATCTACCATAACCGAGGCTTTGCCAAAAGCGAACTGCGAAAATATTTTGAAGCCATTTCCGATTATGACGAGGCGATCCAGCTAAACCCTGAATTTGCGATAGCCTACAATAACCGAGGCATTGCGAAAACTAATTTAGGACATCCTGAAGCCGCTATCCCTGACTTTGATGCGGCTATCCGTCTCAACCCAAACAGTGTGAATGCCTATGCCAGCCGGGGGATTGCCAAGAGAGAGTTAGGTCGCACTGATGATGCTAAGCGGGATTTTCAGACAGCATTAGATTTGGCGGAGAAGGCAGGAGATGAAGAATTTAAGTCCCGAATTATGGAAAGATTAGAGGCACTATAATACGTGTCGTCTGAAAAACACCACCGCCCTACCGTCCGGTTAGGGCATTTTCTTCGGAATAAGTCGTTTTGGACTTGGAAAAATTTTGAAAAATGCCCATAACCCCTTGTAAATAAAGGGTTTATCGGGTATAATATAGGTAAGAAATAGGGAGGTTGCCGCCTCCCTATCTACCCCAAAAAGCGAAGCTGCTTTTTCTGGTGACTCTTACCTGATATTGTATCAGAACCCATCAGAAAAAAGCAACTCCAAATGATAGGAGTCTTTTCTGATGGATGTGATCAAGGTAATGGAAACGTTCCCGACGCAAGAGCATTGTATTGACTATTTAGAGCGTCTGAGGTGGCAAGGAGCCCCAGAATGTCCGCATTGTGAGAGTATAGAGGTAAGAAGGCGAAATGAACAGGAAACAGGGCGTATCGGACGCTGGAACTGTCATAACTGCCACACAACCTTCAAGGTAACGCATGGCACACTCTTTCATGGCACGAAGATTGCGCTTCAGAAGTGGTTTGTCGCGATCGCTCTGATGGCGAACGCAAAGAAAAGCCTATCAAGTTGTCAACTCTCACGCGATCTGGGGGTGCCACAAAAAACGTGTTGGCGTATAATGATGGCAATACGGGGTGAGATGGGAAAGAATAACGTCATGCTACAAGGGATCGTTGAGGCAGATGAGACCTATATCGGTGGGAAGCACAAGAAAGACTATGACCGAGAAAACGGTGCACCGAAAAAACGCGGACGTGGCACAGCGAAAGATGTCGTTCTCGGTGCGGTCGAACGCGGCGGGCAAGTCGTTGCTAAACTCGTGCCAAACGCAACCGGAGAAACCATCAAAGACTTTATCAAGTCTATCGTCAACACCGATGAATCCGAACTTATTACCGATGGATATCGTGGCTACAACGAGATCGGTAAACAGATGAAGCATGAAATCCTCAACCGTAGCCAACAGTGGGAAGCCGGGGGCATCCATACTAACACAATGGAAGGCTTCTGGTCTTTCGTCAAGCGGGCATGGTATGGATCGCATCACCATTATTCAACACGATACACGCCCTTGTACCTCGCAGAGGCCTGCTATAAATACAACCACCGAGAAACCAACATCTTTGGGAACTTTCTCAACCAAAGTATGAGGGCAGAAATCTGAAAAAATGAAAATTTCTAAGTCCAAAACGACTTATTCCGTTTTCTTTTATAGTAAAGCCCGAAAATATGTTGACATTTCAATGAATAATACCAAAATCTGAAAAATAAATTCGTATTTCAGAGATTTTGAAACTCATAGGAAGTCGCATTTAAGAGGCGCAATGAATTGCGCGACTACGAACTGGTTTTTCGTTAATGAGAAGCGGTTATTCAGAAATGGTATTACTTAGTGCTGATAAGGAGAAGATAAATTAGGATGTGCCTTCCACATGCGCTAACAGCGAAGGATGCATTTCCACAACATAAGGTGTTGCCTCCGTTAGACGTTTATGCGAATCGGGCAATTTTTTGAGTTCCGTGATCGTCCGTGCCTGAATATCCTGCAGGTTTGGAAAATCGGACACCAACTCCCCATTTTCGATGACCGGAACAAGAAGCGGTTGCCCCTCGGAGACCGCTTCATCCCAAAGTGTTACCCAATCTTTAGCATAATTCCCAGCGGTATCGGTTAGGCGATAGACCTGTTTCTTGCCCGGTATCGTGGCTTTGAAAGGCTCATCAAGCGACTGTTTCCCGACAGGTCTGCCGTCACTCTCGACCAACTTATAGACACCACCGAGTGCAGACGGAGCCCCTTCGCCTGTGCGCGAATTGAAGTTCGCACCCGTAGCGAGTCGCGTGCGACACCGAAACTGTCAAGCGGCGCACCGCTTCCGAGCAAAGTGTCTATCTGGAATTCATCAAGTTCATTGCTTGCGATAATCTGAACGTAATCAAGTCCCTCAGCGTCAAGGATACGACGCACCTGTTTGCTGAGTATCAAGAGGTCACCACTGTCCAATCGTACTGAGCGTAATCGGGCACCACGTGCCTCCATCTCCTTTGCGACGATACATGCGTTCCGCGCGCCTTCAAGTGTATTGTATGTATCAATCAGGAGCGTCGTGTTATTCGGAAAAGCCGCGGCATAATCTTGGAAAGCCGCTAACTCGGTAGGACGTTCAGAGACGAATTTATGTGCCATCGTGCCGACGTAGGGAATATCGAATAAGCACCCTGCAAGCACCAACGACGTGCCACTTGCACCACCGATAAAAGATGCGCGTGCAGCCAAGATACCAGCATCCCTACCGTGTGCGCGTCGCGCCCCGAAGTCAAAAACAGGTCTACCGCGCGCCGCCTGCACAATACGTGAGGCTTTCGTAGCAATCAACGTCTGGAAATTCATGACACAGAGCAGATAGGTTTCAAAAAGTTGGACATCTCGGGATTTGCCCGTGACGTTGATAATCGGTTCATTGGGAAAAACAAGCGTGCCTTCGGGAACTGCAAAAACGGAACCGTCGAAACGGAAATCTTTAAGCGAAGCGAGGTAGTCAGCACTCAGATCTCCACGTTCTGCCAACCAGTCGAGCGTAGCATCGGTAAAACGCAAATTTAAGATGTAGTGGATGACCTGTTCCAACCCAGCCGCAATTAAATATTGCCCTTGTGGAATTTCACGGACGTAGTAGTTCGCTGTGATAACAGAATTATTCCCCGCATTGAAATCCGCTTGCCCCATCGTCAGTTGATAGTAATCAACGAAGAGTGCCATCTCCTCCACTGGAAGCAAGGCAGATTCAGGTAAACGGCGCAAATCAGCGTTCATAGACTTTTACCCTCAGTGATAACACGTTTCTGGTTGACAGATAGATTTCGATGCGTATCCACCTGCCCAGAAGGCCAGACGATTTCAAGTGTGTTAACTTTTGTGTGTTTTCCGAGACCAATCTCAAGGGACAGGCTATTCGTCGAACCGAAACCACACCCGCCACTCACTTCTCTGTAAATCACGCTATCACCAACACGCAAAGTGACCTTAGCCCCAATGCCATCTCGATTGCTCTTGACACCGACCAGTTTTAAGGTAAGCCAATTGTTCCCAGTACCGGTATTTTGGTAGAAGAGATTGTGCCACTGATCGCCAATAAACGCACCACCGACAGGAACGTAGATATCAACATCGCCATCCGTATCAACATCGCCGAAAGTTACACCGTGTCCCTTTCCGATGTTGCCTAACCCCAGAGCGAGGGTCGCATCGGTAAAGGTGCCATCGCCGTTGTTGCGGAAGAGCGCGTCGCGTTCGAGTCGTCCCATCTGCGGTGCACCAGTAGCGAGATAGATGTCCAGATAACCGTCGCTATCAATATCGCCGAAATTTGCCCCCATCGCGCCAAAAGCGTGATAGAGTCCCGATTCACGGGTAACATCGGTGAAAGTGCCGTCTCCGTTATTGCGGTAAAGCACTTGCCGATCGCCGTCGTGTGGCGCAGCCCCTGTTATTTGCCCAGCGATAAAGGCTTGAAACGAACCTGAATTCGAGATGAAGATGTCTAAATCCGCATCGTTGTCAACATCTAAAAAGAAGGTAACAAAGGCATCGGTAACGGGGAGAGTCATGCCAGCAATCGAGGTGACATCGGTGAACGTGCCATCACCGTTATTGCGATAAAGGACATTGGACTGCCCGAAGTTGACGACATGCAGATCGATATATCCATCTTTATCGTAATCCCCCCAAGCAGTTCCGAGGGAATTGCCGGTATTCGCGACACCCGCACTTTCAGCGATATTCGTAAAGGTGCCATCACCGTTATTCCGGTATAAGACATTCGCGGCACCATCGCCGATAACACCGTCTGCGATATAGAGGTCAAGGAAACCGTCGTTGTCGTAATCCGCCCAAGCAGCACAGAAACTACTCTGTGGATCGGCGACACCTGCGGTGTGTGTGACATCGGTGAAAGTGCCATCACCATTGTTATGATAGAGCGTATTCTCAGCTGCGACCAGACCAACCACCACGCGTGATATAGAGATCGAGGAAACCGTCGTTGTCGTAATCCGCAAAAAGTGATCCCCAACCACCTCTCGGATCAGCGATCCCTGCTTGGTCTGCCACGTTGGTAAAGGTACCGTTCCCGTTATTGCGATACAGCACGTGCGGTTGGTAAGTGCCGACTGCGACGATATCCTCATCGCCATCGTTATCGTAATCTCCCCATGCACTACCGCGTCCACCGTCAACCTTGTCCATTTTTAAATTAGCCGCCATATCGGTAAATAGAGAATCTCGTCCGACAGAATTCGGGGTTACAAACCCTCCCCACGGCTTAATCTTAAATTCTTCTGGTAAGTCTGCTGGATAGCCACCGAGTTGACTATATGCTGTCCACAAGTTCCATAAGGTTTCAGGATCGCGAGGTTTGAGGCGGAGCGATTCTTTGAAATTTGTTACCGCTTTTTCAAGATCACCGTGCGAAGATGATAGACACCGAGATAGTAGTATGCCCCAGAGTGCCGACGGTAATTTTGGATGATATTTTCAAATCGCTTGGCGGCTTTGTCCGCTTCACCCAAACGGAATTCAGCCAAACCGAGTTGGAGCATCGCTTCTAAATTATTCGGTTCAAGTTCCAACACTTTTTCAAATTGTCGTTTAGATGCTGAGAGATCCGGCACGAGCATCTGTTGCGGCGCACCTAAGAAATAACCGAGTCTGATACGTGCCTCGGTATCATCAGGGTTTACCTCCAAAGCATTGGTGAGAGCAGTGGTAGAATCAGAGAACCGCTGTTGATAACTGAAAACCTGTGCTAATGTCAGATACGCTCTCGAAAGTTTATCCTTCGCTTCAGGGATCTGATTAAGCTGTCCTATTAACGTCTGTAATGTCGCCTCGGCAGGGGCAAACTTTTGCTGTCTGATATAGGTACGGGCAAGCAACATGCGTGCATCATGAGCATTGACATCAATCTTCAAACATGCCTGAAACGCTCTCTCTGCCTCAGCGAAGTCGTTCACGTCCAGCGCGTCAATTCCCTTCTGATACTCCGCAGTGAATTGCGGATCTACCGCCTTATTTTGGGGGTGATCTGTATTGCAACCGGCAATGATAAGGAGAAGAGGGAAAACAAAAAGAAATTGTCGCATTTTTCTTAGGGGTTATCAGTTACCAGTTATTGGTAAAGGAAATCACTGCGATTAATCGAATCCGCCTCTTAACTGACAACTGAAAACTGAAGGCTGAAAACTATTCTTCTGCCAACCGTGCCTTCAATTCTTCTTTCTGAACAGGCTGAGCCAAATCCATGAGATAGATTCGCATGTGATCTGAACGGTCTGCACTAAACACCAGTTTCTTTCCATCGCGTGAGAGACTCGGTTCAAAATGTGCACCGATGTGGTTTGTCAGTTGGGTTTTGTTTGTGCCGTCAGTGTTCACCATCCAGAGCGTATAATGATTGTGTGCGTTCGAGACATAGATAATCCGTTTACCATCAGACTGAAAGTTGGGTGATAATGACTTGTCTCCGAAAAGGTTAGCTGCTTTGCTGTCCCGCCTGCCGCATTAAGAATAAAAATCTGGTAGACATCCGCTACCATTGAAGAGAAAACTATCTGTTTGCCATTGGGTGCCCATGTCGGATGTCCGTCATCCACGTCATTATGCGTCAGCTGCGTTTTATTGCTGCCATCGATATCAATCACATAGATTTCCAATGTGTCGTTATTCTCAGTACCCCCAGGAGTGTTCGCGGCTTCCTGTGTGGGTGCCTTGGATTCAAAGGCAATTTTTTGTCCATCCGGTGAAAAAACGGGTGCGCGGTCCGCACCATCTACATCAACCAGTGGACGCTGATTCCTCCCATCAATATCCATAAGATAGATAGCAGCACGGCTTGGGTCAGAACCGCTCGCTTGGATAGGTGGCAGCATCATCCCCCCGCGAGTCCGTTCCGTAACGAAGGCAATTGACTTCCCGTCCGGTGAAAAAGCAGGCATATATTCGTCAAGTTCATCAGTATGTGTGAGTTGGCGAAGTGAACGATCTGTGAGATCCATGAGATACAACTCGGCGTTTTGGAGACGATTTGATGCGAAGGCGACCCACTTTCCATCCGGTGAGATTGCCGGACTATAATCATCGTTGTACTTCGCAGTAAACGTCATCATATTCCCTTTTTCAGTAAAAGTCTGCTCGTAATCGTCGCTGCCTTCGGTGCGGAGGCGTTGGACGTGATAGGCATCACCCGTGAGTCCCGCCACTTGGAGAAGGACATCTTTTTTAGGGGAGCTGCTAATCAACTTTTGAAGCTGGGCAGTAGCAAGCGAACGGTTATCACTATACCAATAGACCCGCCCAAGCGAGACTACGATTTCCGCGCGTTGCGGTGCCAATTGCTGTGCTTTTCTGAGCGCATCGGTGGCTTGTGCGACATACTTTTCAGTATCCGAAACCTGCGATTTGCTTCCGTCAGCCAACGCCTCATAAATCAAACCCAACTGGTAATAAGCTTCAGCATTAGCAGGATTCTGTTTAAGTGCTACCTCAAACTCCTGAATAGCAGCTGTAGTATCACCTGTTTTGAGGAACGCCTTGCCACGTTCAATGGTAGCATCCTCACCGCATGCCACAAAAATTACGATCACAGAAAGGAACAAGAATTTTGCCCACAATCCGTTGCTATCCAATCGTCCGTTCCGCAGGAACACGCGCGGTCCCCGGTTTCTGATGAAATCGGTACGTCTTCGGGATAAGTAGAGATTCCGTTGCATAATACGACTCCGACAAGATTTTCATTTTCGCGATCATTTCTGGGTGATACGTATCCGCTGGTTTACTGGTATATTATGACGTGCTTGCGTTTCTCCATTCAACCATGTAACCCGCAAGGTCTCAATCTGCGTGGCGTTTCCGACACCAAATTCAGCGATGAAACTGTTAGAGGACATGTAACTGTCACCGGCGTAAATCTCTCGTAGCTGCGTCCGCTCCGCTGTCTTGAGCTGAATCTTCGCGCCGATGGCATTCCGATTTCCGTCTGCTCCAACCAGCTCAACGTGTAACCAACTATTGCGATTGCCACCCTCGTTGCGCAATAAAGTGGGGGCAGCATGATTGTTGACGATGAAAATATCGACATCACCATCGTTGTCGTAGTCCCCAAATGTCGCGCCACGACCGACACGTGTAGGGAGTGCTGCAATTCCCGTGCCTTCACTGACATCGGTGAAAGTGCCATCGCCGTTGTTGCGATACAGGGCATCAGTTTGCGGAATAAGCATTTCTGGATTCCGCAGTTCTTGGAAGGTACTCCCATTCGTAACGAAGATGTCCAAATCGCCATCGTTATCGTAGTCAAAAAGGGCAGTGCCCCAGCCAATCTGTTTGATGCTTACCTCAGCCAGCATGGTAGAATAGGATTCATCGACAAATCTGATATGCTTGCTCGCAGTGTCTTCTTTCAAAAGATTTCTGTAAAGTGCGTTTTCTTCGTCAATCCAATGGCTCATAAAAAGGTCAACGTCCCCATCACTATCATAATCGCCAGCAGTGAGACCCATAGAACCGCGAAAATCCGCCGCCCACGAGTCATCGCTAACATCGGTGAACGTGCCATCACCACTATTGCGATAGACATAGTTCACAGAGGTATCATTTGCAACATACAGGTCTAAGTCGTTATCACCATCGAAGTCGCTGAAGAGACACTGCATACTTCTGCCTCCCGATGCCGCTATCCCTAATTCCGCAGTTACGTCAGTAAAGACACCAGCCCCATTATTACGGTAAAAGACGTTATCTTGTGGCTCACAGACATGCGGATTCAGCGCGCTCGGCACCGGTTTACCAGATTGTAAAGACTCCTCCTGCATCTGCTCCAGCCTTTCTAAATCGTAGGTGATATAGTTGCAAACATAGAGGTCCAGATCACTGTCCCCATCAACATCTGCGAAGGAAGCACCCGTACTCCACAATTCACAACCGACCCCGGCAGTTTCCGTCACATCACGAAAGGTGCCATCACCGTTGTTGCGATAGAGGACATTCGCGCCATAATTCGTTACATACAAGTCAATACTACCATCACCATCGTAATCTGCGAAGACACACCCCATGCCATATCCTTGATGCCCAACACCCGCGATGTGCGTTATATCCGTAAACGTGCCGTCGCCGTCGTTGCGGTAGAGCGCATTTGTTTTACTATCGGTGCTGGCATCTTGTGTAAATGGATGGGGGATATTGACAATGTAGAGGTCAATGTCGCCATCGTTGTCTATATCAGCAAAACCAGCACCAGACCCCATATCTTCTGGGAGTAGACTGGAACGAGTTCCGCTCGAATGTTGGAAATGGATACCCGCTGTGTCTGTGACATCAACAAAGGTAACCGCCTGTAGCGTCGAGGGTGCCAGGACAGCAACCGCAAGTGCGAAAAAGAAGGAAGTCATGTAGAGAGGAACACAGTGCCACGCTAATGTAAACGGTTTCTGATGCAACATCATTTTTCCAAGAAGTTCGTAAAAATGGTTCCGCTGCGAAAGCGTTCGTCGTTGAGAATATTTTGGAAGAGTGGGATTGTGGTTTTTATGCCTTCAATTTTGAATTCGGACAATGCTCGCTTCAACCGTGCAATCGCTTCTTCCCGGTCCCTACCGTATGCAATGAGTTTGGCAACGAGTGAGTCGTAGTACGGCGGCACAGTATAGCCCGAATAGATGTATCCGTCAACCCGGATCCCGATGCCGCCCGGCGGATGGTATTCAGTAACAAGTCCCGGTGAAGGCATGAAATGATTCGTCGGGTCCTCGGCATTAATCCTGCATTCAATGGCGTGTCCTTGTATCTGAATATCAGATTGGTTGTATCCAAGCTGCTCCCCCGTCGCGAGTCGGATCTGCTCTTTAATTAAATCAATGCCAGTAATGCTCTCGCTGATTGTATGTTCAACCTGAATGCGCGTGTTCATTTCTAAAAATAATAATTGTCGTCTTTATCAACAACAAACTCAATAGTACCGGCGTTTGTGTATCCGATAGATTTTGCGGCTTTGGCAGCAGCCTTACAGATTTCGGCACGAAGTTTAGATGGAATAGAGGCAGCAGGTGCCTCCTCCAACAACTTCTGTTGTTTTCGTTGAATAGAGCATTCACGTTCGCCCAAATGGACGACGTTGCCGTGCAGATCACCTAAAATCTGAACCTCGATATGCCGGGATTCTTCAATCCATTTTTCAATATAGACATCACCGTTCCCAAAAGCCGCTTCGCCTTCTGCTTTCGCGGTGTGGAAAAGGGTCAGCAGGCTGGGGCGGTTTTCCGCGATTCGGATACCGCGTCCACCACCGCCGGCAACGGCTTTAATCCCAACAGGATAACCAATCTTTTCAGCAAGCTGCGCGGCTTCCTCAGCGGTATCAATTGTACCCTTTTTGCTGTTTTTGCGTCTACCGCCTTGGCTACCCGGTACAAGTTTCAAACCCGCTTTTGCCACGGTCTCACGTGCCCTCACCTTATCCCCCATAGTCACAATATTCGGGACGGAGGGCCCAATAAACTTTATTTCGTGTGCTTCACAAATCTCGGCAAACTGCGCGTCCTCAGCGAGAAAACCTGCCCCTGGATGAATGGCGTTGACATTTGCGAAATCCGCAACTGCAATAATATTCGCATATTTGAGATAACTCTCGGCTGAAGGTGGAGGTCCGATGCAGTACGCCTCGTCAGCATATTTAACGTGCAGTGCCTCTTCATCCGCGGTCGAGAAGATAGCCACCGTCTTAATCCCCATGTCTTTGCAGGCGCGGATGATACGGACAGCGATCTCACCTCGATTTGCTATTAGTATCTTTTTTATCATGTATTTTTAATGTTCCTTGCGATTCGGTCAGGATATCTCTAACAAGAACGATCCGCTCCGTATATCCAGCCCGACCACCCTTCCCAGTAACGGGTGGGGACCCCGGTTGGGCTTACAATCTCTGTCCAATCCCATCAGATATTCGGTAGAAATAGACTATATCTGTTTCACTCGGAACAAAGGTTGGGAATATTCAACCGCCTCGCCATCTTCAACAAGAATTTCTAAAATTTCGCAGTTAAAAGGGGCTTCCACGGGATTGTAAGTCTTCATAACTTCGAGCATGCCTATAGGTTCATTCGTACTGACGATATCCCCAACTTGCACAAAAGGCGGTTCGTCAGGCGCAGGAGCACTATAGAAACGCGAGGGCATCGGCGCATTGATGTAGACATTCTGCGCGTCCTCGCCCGCCGGTACATCCACATTTTCTGCTGTCAGACCTGGAGCATCAACCGCAATACTGGTCTCGGTTGACTGTGGCGAAGGTGTCCGATCATGTCCGACCGGGTTTCCGCGGTATCTGGAAACTTGCACCTCAAATTCTTTGTCCCGAACGCGTACCTCCGTGAGATCCGCGCGGTCGAGAACCTCCGCTAACTGTTCAACGAGTTCAAGGATATCACTGTAGTCTTGTTCCCCGGATTGAGATTTATCCTTTGGATGTGTCTTGACGCATTTCTATTTTTAATAGTTATCAGCGTATTGGCTATCAGCAATCGGCTATCAGCAATCGGCAAAGAGATTTTCGGTATATCTACCTCTATTGCTGACGGCTGACCGCTGATGGCTATTCCACTGACGACTATTATATCCTTTCTACATATTTGCCGGTACGCGTGTCAACTTTGATACGCGTTTCGTTTTGCACAAAAAGTGGAACGTTAACAACCTCACCTGTCTCAAGTGTAGCACGTTTGGAACCACCGCTGACGGTATCACCCCGCAATCCGGGATCGGTCTCAACAATTTGAAGTTCAACGAAGTTCGGGAGCTCAATTGCGAGCGGCACCTGTCCGTCCATTTTGACCGTGACAGTTTCTCCCTCTTTCAGGAACTTCAAGCTATCCTCAACGAGAGTCATCGGAAGCGTGTGTTGTTCAAATGATTCATTGTCCATAAACCACAATATATCGCCATCCCGGTACATATACTGCATCTTGTGATCCATGACCCGGACAGTTTCGACAGTCTCATTGGAGCGGAATGTGCGATCCAAAACTGCACCATCGGTGATACGTTTGATCTTCGTCCGTGCGAAGGCACTACCCTTCCCCGGTTTCACATGCTGACAATCGACTATAGTGTAAATAATGTCGTTGAGTCGGATAACCAACCCGTTTCGTAAATCGTTAAGTACTGCCATTTTCTCCTTTATTGGCTGTCAGCTGTCAGCTGTCGGCTTTCAGTTAAGAGGTTTTTGATTAGATCCAACAACTCTTTTACTGACTGCTGAAAGCTTCTTTGCTGAAAGCCATTCCCACTGATAACTAAGACCAAATTAACCCCATTTGTAGCGCGAGGTCCCTGTGCCTCGCAAGGCTCACTTGATCAAAAAACTTCTAATCAAGATAAGTGGGTATAATACAAAATTAACCCCATTTGTAGCGCGAGGTCCCTGTGCCTCGCAATCCTCACTTGATCAAAAAACTTCTAATCAAGATAAGTGGGTATAAGACCAAATTAACCCCATTTGTAGCGCGAGGTCCCTGTGCCTCGCAGCTCACTTGATCAAAAAACTTCTAATCAAGATAAGTGGGTATAAGACCAAATTAACCCCATTTGTAGCGCGAGGTCCCTGTGCCTCGCAAGCCTCACTTGATCAAAAACTTCTAATCAAGATAAGTGGGTATAAGACCAAAATTAACCCCATTTGTAGCGCGAGGTCCCTGTGCCTCGCAAGGCTCACTTGATCAAAAAACTTCTAATCAAGATAAGTGGGTATAAGACAAATAACCCATTGTAGCGCGAGGTCCCTGTGCCTCGCAAGGCTCACTTGATCAAAAAACTTCTATCAAGATAAGTGGGTATAAGACCAAAAGTAACCCCATTTGTAGCGCGAGGTCCCTGTGCCTCGCAAGGCTCACTTGATCAAAAAACTTCTAATCAAGATAAGTGGGTATAAGACCAAATTAACCCCATTTGTAGCGCGAGGTCCCTGTGCCTCGCAAGCTCACTTGATCAAAAAACTTCTAATCAAGATAAGTGGGTATAATAACTACTAAAGCAAAGCGAGTGCTTGTTCTAACGCCTTGGCTCTATGACTGATTCGATTTTTGATTTCTTCGCCGAGTTCTGCGAAAGTCTGTTCATATCCGTCCGGCACAAACACTGGATCGTAGCCAAACCCACTCTCTCCTACCGGCGCGTGCCTGATGTGTCCGTCACAAACACCGAGAACGCCTTCAGGCGTAGAATCAGGGTGGACGACTGCAATCGCAGCAACAAAACGGGCACGCCGATCGGTAACACCTTCAAGTGCTTGAAGAAGTTTCGCAATCCGGATCGCGTCTGTAGCGTCTTCACCTGCCCAGCGTTTAGAATTGATGCCGGGAACACCGTTAAGCGCATCTACCTCTAATCCAGCATCGTCAGCGAGCGTCAGATAACCTGTGTATTCCGCAATAACGGACGCTTTTTTGGCGGCATTCTCCATATATGTTTTTCCGTCCTCAACGACTTCTGGAGCATCCGGATAGGCGTTCAAGGAGATAACCTCAATCTGTTGCGAGATACTTGCGCCGGAATCCCCGCCCGTTACTGAGGAGGGGCTGCGGAGCATTTTTGTGAGTTCCCGCACCTTGCCTTGGTTATGCGTCGCCAATACCAGCTTCATCTAAATCCTCTAACATCATCCGGTTCTGTAATCGGATAAGTTGTTGTATACCGCCAATAGAAAGATCTAACATCTGATTGTAATCGTCACGGGAAAACGGTTTCTCCTCTGCCGTGCCCTGTATCTCTATAAACTTCCCGCTACCGGTCATAACAATATTCATATCAACATCCGCTGTTGAATCTTCGGTATAACAGAGATCCAACAGCGCTTCATCATTGACAAGCCCGACACTCGTTGCGGCAATGTTATCGGTAATAGGAAATGTTTTGATCCTTCCACTTTTCACAAGTTCCTGACAAGCATCCCAGAGTGCGATAAACGCGCCTGTAATCGATGCTGGTGCGCGTGCCACCATCGGCTTGGATGACATCACAATCAACCCAGACCGTCCGCTCTCCTAAGGCGTTGAAATATACATCGCCAGCAAGCAAGAAAGACCGATGGACGTTGTATCTCGTGTTATGCCCAGCCCCGACAACGGTTATCTCGCGGGATTTGCATCGTTAGCAAGTCAAAACGCATACCGTCTCCTACGTTTTCGCTATGAGGCATCGCTGTTCGTTCTTTTCTCATTGTTTCCCCCTCTTTTCCCTTTTCCTTGTGGTATGTCACTGGATGGGCGGCCCTTCCTGCTTTT